ATATATCTGCTTCGAAACAGTATATGTATATACATATTTATGACAAAAATGACTGGGGGAATAAAATATTTGTAAAAATAAAAAAAAGTAACTGCATGTCTTACTAATCTCTCTTTATATTGTATCTAATAAAATTACACAACGCAGCATCTCAACCTATCAAGCTGTTTAAGCTTACAGATAACACTTTCTGGTAGCTTCTAGGTCGGAGAATACGGAGTATTATAGATAAAATGGGTCCTGGTTGAAGTCTCGCCCAGTCTGTGGAGTGCTGGTAAGCTATCTTGACACTGGGTAGGTTGGCAATCCTTCCCTTTGGTGTAACCGGGACGAAACGGCACAAAGGAGCTAACGTACTTGTCTTTTCAAACATACAAACTTACAATCTTCAGTTGGTAAGCAACAGGTGGGTTGTCGTTCAACCGTACATATAAGACACAACAAATATTTAGAAATACATTTATCATAATTACTGTTCTATTCCGTCAGTGTAGATTATGATAGTTAGTAAACAGGGTCGGGAGCATTTTTCGGCTTGCCGTTGATTCAACGGGCGGAGTTTCAAAAACCTACGCAGTTGAATTGTTTTCAAGTATTCATAGTTGTTAAATAAATTGCAAACACGTTATGCATTCGAGGTCGCGTGTTGAATTTGAAATTAACATTGGAAATCATTTCATATACTCCGTAAAAATAAGGTTTGAAATTGACAATGACATTGCCAGTAATAAATATGTTTAATAGAATATAATGTAATATACATTGTATAAACATAGATAGACTCTTTCGATTTGTGTTCAGTAAAAGGAAAAAAAATATAAACGTGTAAACGTCTTTGTATGAAAGGACTTGACCTATGGCTTTCCTTAAAAGTTAACAACAAATTATCTTTGATGCATAAAAAGGTAGCACTATAAACAGGAATTTCCACGTAGCACACAAGGAGCTATCGGAAGTTACGAGTTAACTCCCGTTGAACACTCAGCACAGCTAAAACGCATCTGGTCTTTTTGTAACAATGCTATTTTCTAATATGTTTAAAGCAATGGCATAGCTTCACAGCTATTTCAGCCTTATCACCACATACATATTACCTCCGCCGTATATAATTGTGATAGATATTTTCTTCTTCTTGCTACGTATTATGAGGAATATATATTTTAATGCATTTTGTGAAAAGGAGGTGCCACTCCTCACTAGTTTTCCTACCTCCACCAAATGTGCTATACTTATGTATCGTGCAAAAGCAGAGTGTTTCAATCTGAAAACAGGTCTGGTGCCCAAATATATACAGAATTATGACCCTATCTTCACTTGTATATCAAAGTCTGTCGAGATTATATGTTCTTTACCTTTACACGTTTATTCTCCAAACAAGTTATATTTAATGTTTTTGGTTTCTTTTGCCCTAAAAGTACACGATAAACAAAATAACAACCGGGATACGCCAGTTTTTCAGAGGAATGCTGCACTTATTCATAAGAATTGAGAGATGAATCAACATAACCAGAAAATAGCCAAATTAGTGTGTATCTGAAAAAGAATTTTGAGGATACAATGTAACAAAAGTCTTACCTACTTTCTCTTATGTTTACACAATGAAAAATGGAAAATGTTGAAGGAAAAAAGGTATTTTTCCTTCAAATAGATTCTTTAATTTCGCGATAACATGTGATTTTACTTTGAAGCTAGAATAAAGAAAAAATAATTTCTATTTTTCTGTCGGTATTCTTAACAATTATATCAGCTGAAGGACATAACTTGGATGGTGGTTAAACAGCTCAGGTAAGAAAACTCTTGATCTAATAACTAGAATGCAAAACATGTTCATAATATATGATACTTTCATTCATAATAGCTTACTTTGGTAAGGAGCCTAATGTTGTAAACAATGATGACATTTATTGTATACCGATTAGCTGCTTGAGGTACCATAACACACGTTTTTGATTTCGCGATGGAAATAAGGATATCATTTGAACACAAAGACAAAACCTATGACACTTACCTAATGGCTGTCAAAGCTAATAGTACAATCTAACCCGTTTTATTGTGCAAAATGGCCTCAAAACAGCTAAACAGTATGAACAGCCATGGATGGGATACTCGTTTGTATGTAATGCTATGTATTGGACATGGCCTTGCTGGAAATCCATTGTTTGATATTTGCTGTTTTACATACGGATGGTTGTCACCCGACAAATTGTTGATGCAGAAGGTGTTCAGGCTCTTCTACATTGTCATACAGTTGGAAACATCAAACTATTCAAGCTACTTGCTCACAATAAAAAGGACCATCATACAGTGTGAGAACAATTTATGACCTATCTTTTGCAAGCTGAATGGATCAGCCAAGCATGTCTGGTTAGCTTAACCAGTATATTAATCAATATTCAAACATGTTTATGACACACATATACTTTCCAAAAGATGAGAAAACATGTTAATAGTTAAAACATAATTCTTCGATACGGATTGATAAGACCAGGGTACTTGTGGAAAAAAAGTCCGTCGCCCAGTTCAAAAGTGTAGTGTTGCAATATATAATAATATAAAAAATAAAAAATAAAAAATATGAATAACATTGACGGCATTATAAATGACATGTTTGACAATTTGCGCAATTTAATGTTGACTAGATTTGAAATCGAATATATTGGATCAAGAAAATTGACATCAACAAGACCAGTCACCAGAAGAAGGCTTTATGTCGGCGTGGATTTCACTTGTGTGAGTCAATGAATTGAAGGTGTGGGTACTGAAAACAATGATATATAAGTGTAACCTACATATTATGAAACCCTATCGAATTGTTCCAAGTGTTAGAATTATGTGTCACAGTAACAGTAATCGTGCAGTCAAATGTACATAATGTGGTGATCGCACTTCCCACCTTACATTTGTGTATACTGTGGTTGTTTGGTTTGTTTGTGCTTTATGATCAATAAACAGATATGGTTATATAATAATGATATACAGTATTTGATATAGCGCCCTATCTAGCCACTCTAAAGCGCTTTACACTATGAAGATATGCAATTAATACAATTTAGCTTATACATCAATCAATACAATTTTGAGGAATTCGCAGGAGCTGCCTTATCAGGCGCTAACTTCTAGTCATATGCCACCTGGTTAATATCTCCATATGTGTGTAAAGTGTATGTCTGCATGTGTGCTACAGATGTAATGTGTTCTAATTGTAGTGGGACCGTGCTTCCAACGGCACCATTTATAGTGCCACCTCACTTGAATGCTACAGCACAGATACCGTAACATCCACCCCAGACCAATTTATACTCCACCCGGAATGTTGGAGTTGTGTGGGGAGAGGAAAAACACTTTCTCTGAATGTCCATGCGGACGACGATATCGGGGATCGGATCCCGGCCGCCAGCGTGGAAGGCCGAAGTGTTAACTACTCGACCAATCCGCCCACATATAAGGGTTGCCAGTACCTGGTGACTGCCCTACGTATGACCACAATCAAGTGATGGTGGGCTAGGGATCATAGATGTCTGTTAGGACATCAGGTCTTAGGTGCCTCCATGCATTCATTTCTATTTTTTTCCTTTTAAAACTTCATAGTTATGTGACAATGGTAATGTAAAATCCAGTTTCTTAATTTTACATACATTTTATATACATGAATAGTGATATGTCGAATTCTCACACTATTAATAAGGTTTATGATGTTTGTAGAAAGTTAAGTACACCATAAGTAACGCGATGAAATAAATGAGCCTGAAAAGTGTAGCCATATTTTAATGTCATGTTATTTTGTTTTATTTTGTATAAACATTCTTAAAACCCAGTCGGTAGATTACGATAAGTCTTGATATTCAATACAAACACAGTGACCTGTACCATACTCACCACCAGATAAACAACACTGGGTAACTCAGGTAAATGTATACAACACCGGCATATAAACTGAAATGACTTATTAACTTAAACATGAGTGTTGTATTCGTACGTCAAAGAAATGAGGGATCACTTTTAAGTGTTTTTGCCGATGAAATGCTTGTGAGTCGGGCATTTCAAAACATCCGACTTTATAAGTCACTCGTTACTTATAGAGACTTTCCTATAAACTCGACGTAGTTTACATCCTAGATGTTAATAGTAATTAAAATATATATCATTTTTTAAGGTCTGATCAAATTTAAATAACATACCATGGAACTAATTTTCGTAAGACCACAACAACCTCATCAACTGGGCACAGCATCCATAAAATTATTTTCAGTTTAATGCTATGTTTCTCTCTTCCAATTGTCAACGAATAACAATAACAGACTCAACGTAAATAGGCGAGTGGTAGTTACACACATCAAACAGCTATACATTGGGACTAATGAGTTTGTTCTCTGTGCCTCCAATAAGTAATTTACTGATATCTTTCAAAAGAGTTAGTCTAAATACAAAACAAACTATAAAGATTGAGCAATTGAATTTGATTTTCAATATATAATTGTATAGTCTTTGTACCGGCATGTGCATAAACATATCTATGTACACCTTTATATTGTAGATCAGTAGATACAGGGTTACGAAATGTATACAGAATTTTGTCAACATGTGCCTTTAGCGAGACTGTGCAATTTCATGAATAATACATGAGGTGAAAATGGAACACAGGTAAAATATCTGAATTCAGCACTTATACCACGTATTTAGATACGCATGGTCTAAATAACGATAATATTTCATAATGTAAGGTAAGTACTTTATATTTTACAAAAAATAAGTTGTGATCATTTGACAAGTGTATATGATATGATTTTCCTTGTCAGTTCCATTTTCATCTTTTCAGTTTATGTCGATCTCGGCATACCAATAATCAAGTTTAGGTTAGGTTAGCTGTGACACATGAATTCTACTGACTATTTCATTGCTTCAAAAACACATGATTAAGATTTTTGTTTTGATAATATGTCGCAGTCGAGTGGTGAAGTACTTAACCATGTCACATGTAAAACATTTATAGTAAATAAATTGACGTCTCGAAACACCAAAGGTAAACGGGTCATGCAACAGATAACCTGAATAATTCATTTTCATTCAAATTCAATCTTAGTCGACTCAATATACAAATGTACAGTATCTCATAATTTTCATGGTGTAACAATTGAACATCGGTATGGAAATTGATATTGTGTAATGCGTTGAGTCAGATTTCCTTAAGGATGATTATATGTACTGCTACACTTGTGTCTCTAAGACCTCACTGAAGCTTTTCACGTAGCGTGACGTGCAATTGTTTTTACTTTCAATTATCATAGAAAACATGAATAAATATAATGGAAAACATGTTGAATTGAAAAATGGAGAAATGACGTTGTTTATCAGATATTTACTTTCGACTATATTTGTACGTCCAGTATTAACTGTCATACGTCCTGTTACACCGCCTCCTTAACGGCTGTTCAAATACACATTTGGCGTGATCCAGATTTCGACCTTTTAAAGCATGGCGCTATCAAAAGTGACGGACACAATTGTAGATCTACCCTTGGGTGTGAAGGCTCTGGGTGGTGTTGTGCTGACGGGGGTGGTGCTGGCAGGGTTTTGGAAGGGACTTGGTGTTCGGCAAACCAACAGGTATGTTTTACGTTTAATTTACAGGAGTACGAAGGCTATACGACTAATGAAAGTTTATAAATAGACAGCCGAATACACGTGTTTTAAAGTATTGATAGCTAATAGAAGTGTCAACTAGTACAAGCTGACAGCGATGACCTAGTTTTTTACAATGCTTTCCTAACGCTTTTAGAACATTATGGTATAAAATAATGTAATATTGTTTAACAGGAAAGTCTATCCCCCAAATACCATTGTTATCCATCAGTTAGGGCGTGGTCCATACGTGCCCAGTCTCACACCCTTTGCCATCAAGCTTGAGACATATTTTCGATTGGAGGGAATACCCTACCAGGTAGGTGCAATTTTATGTAATCTAATTAAAGAATTATAAGAAATACGACGAAAATGATTCATGAACAGGTAATTGTTTGTATGTGTCGTGATATGTTGTTAATATGCGTGATCACGTGTCTGGGTCATACCTAACAGGCACCTTTAAATCAACACAACAGAAACTACACGTGACACACCATAACAGCAATCCATTAATCTTTTACGCACTATGTGGTAAGCCAGTCATCTATATTTGTAACATTCTGATATGCTCGCCCGGTATCGTGAACCCTGCCGTAACGCCAGTGTGTCTATCTTCAAGCCACATTCATTGTGTCAAGAGGTGTCAAAGATAGTTCCTTACCCGTGTAAAATTTGATTTTGATTTAATACACAATTAGGGAAAACATGTAAAGAAGATATGCAGAAGGAACAAACAGAAAAGTATTATAGGCATCAATTGAATAATATTTGTTGAACATATGTTTAAATTTGATTCATATATGTATTACAAAATCAGCTGTGTTCACACTGATATCTCCTTATGAAGATTAAGTATATTGTTTTGTTTCTGAAAGCCTGCTTATATATGAAGGCAAGTTGTGATATAAAACAATGTAAAAAACATATGGTAAAACGTAAATACAAATATTTTCATATTATTGTATTTTCCAATCATTAACCACAATTTAGTATATTTCCTGACATTTTGAGGGTTATATTAGTTATCAAAAAGATTTTGCCTCTTTCCCAGTCATTTAAAAAGATAAATATCTTAATTTCAAAAGAATTATACAAAGCTTTGTTCAAAAGCTCCATGTTTAATATTATTCTTTTGAACTGTCTTGTCTAGGCAGATACAGTTCCTGAGCTGTCAGACGGTACTATACTAAATAGAACAAATGAAACTATCTAATCATTATCCTTGAAAATATCATGCAATGTACTAATTGTATTAACACAAATAAACAAGATTATTGATTGATTTTATGTTTTCCCAAGAATTTTCAAACATGTAGAGGCCATGGACTCTCCCTTTGTGATATACTTGGATATAAACAGTAATATGTACCTTCCAAGTTCGACATACTAATTCGGATTTCCTTTTTTACAAATAACAGAATAATTGTAGCAAGTGTTATTTCTGATTTCAGGCCGAACATGCCTTGTACCGGAAAAGCCAGAAAACAGGAAAGGTCCCGTTTTTGGAGTACAACGGAGAAGAAGTGTCCGACAGCGAGTTTATCCTGGAGTTCTTGAGTAAGGAGAAAAACTTCGACATGCACAAAGGTCTCACAGCGGAGCAGATCGGAGTCGGCAGGGCCTTCCAGAAAATGGCAGAGGAAAATACATACTGGTAGGCTATCTTTTTGTCACATGCATTCCGATGCTATTATCAAATATCAGACCTGTAATTAATAAACAAACTCATAAGCATCTTGGTTTAACTTTTAATAGTGATGGCAAATGAACATATCATAATGACAATATGTATGAGCTAGCCTATAAAAGAATGAACATATTGAGAATGTTAATACACAAATTGGATAGAAAAAGTCTTACAACAATATATACCTCTTTTATTAGACCAATACTTGAATATGGTGATGTAGTATGGGATAACTGTAGTAACCAAAATAAAAATAGTCTTGAGTCAATCCAGCTAGAGGCATTAAGAATTATTACAGGATTGCGCAGAGATACCTCTCATTGTAAGCTTTATGCAAAAACTGGACTTGAATCACTTTGTTGTAGGCGAAAAAATCATAAATTAGCACTTATGTTCAAAATTTTAAATAATGAATCGCCTAAGTACCTAGAAGACATCATTGAACCATACCTTCACAGCAATATAAATGTAAGATAGCCACTAAGAAATAGCCGTTTTTTCAATCCCCTTTCTGTAGAACTGAGAATTATTTCAATACTTATTTTCCCTCAATGTGTAGAGAATTTAACCTTCTATCTGCAGAAACTTTAAATGATACTTCCCTTCAACAATTTAAAATTTTCATCAAGTCTGATAGTATGAACAACACTGAAGAAATTGCTAGCACATTTAAATACTATGGGCCAAGAAAATTCAATATCAGAATTTGTCAGCTGAGAAATCATGCTAGCAACCTAAATAGTGACTTATATATTGATCATCTGAATGACACACCAGCATGTAGATGTGGACATGTAATGGAAATGCATTTCATTTTATATTTGAATGCCCACTCTATAACAACTTTAGAATGCAATAAGTAATACATATTTCTCAATTTGGTATAACTGATAATCATGATCACTTTAATCTAATAATTCTATTAAATGGATGCTTAATATGCAGCGCTGATATTAACATATCCATTTTGTCAAACTAATAGGCTTGATATATAATCGCACTCACAGCAAAACTTTACATTGAAAGTGATGCTATTATTTATAGTGTCATGATCACTCTGCTAATAAGTATTGATACTGGTGTATATCTATCTTCACAACATCTCTGGTGTTCGGCTGGACTGGATGGAATTTATGAGTGTACTATTCTATCACCTGTTCTAACTATTTCATAGTTACATGAATATTCTATAATGCCTTGTTAAACAACTTTAAAGAGAATCAACTCCAATGATATATAATATTAACTACATTTTCCTATTTGAATCCATATCATATTCTGAAATTTTACAAAATGTTTATTTCTTGGTAACTTATCCTATATATCCAGTGGGTGGATGGCCAATGTGTTTATACACAGAGACTTTTGGGCCTGTATCCCTTGGATTTTATGTAGGATGGGTTGTCAATAAACAAACATGATTTATTTAATTGTTAATATCTAAAACATAAACAGAAAATGATTAAATAAAAGTTCTTATGACAGAATATATGTAATGTTTGTAAATAAGTTTGGAAAAAACTTAAATAGGCCTAGCCTGATATCCAATCCAATTGACATATATAAAGTCAATAAAATCTGTTGAAATTAAAAAAAGAAAACTAAAAAATAACACCGGAGGCCTTATCTACTGGTCGGTAAGAATTGTGTCACACGCTAGCACAGGACAATACCTACTGGTATACTAGCATAATGTCACACACTAGCACATGACAATACCTACAGGTATACTAGCATTATGTCACTAGCACAGGACAATACCTACTGGTATACTAGCAATATGTCATACATTAGCACAGGACAATATCTACAGGTATACTAGCATTATGTCATACACTAGCACAGGACAATACCTACTGGTATACTAGCATTATGTCACACACTAGCACAGGACATTACCTACTGGTATACTAACATTATGTCACACACTAGCACAGGACAATACCTACTGGTAAGCTAGCATTATGTCACACACTAGCACAGGACAATACCTACTGGTAAGCTAGCATTATGTCATACACTAGCACAGGACAATACCTACTGGTATACTAACATTATGTCACACACTAGCACAGGACAATACCTACTGGTATGCTAGCCTTATCTTCTGGTAGGCCAACATATTGTCACGCTCACGCTAGCCTAGGACAATACCTACCGACAGACCGACATTATTACACAAATGAGCTTAGTTCGGGCGTAAAGATACTTTAGAACATGTGAGTAATGCAAATGAAAACGGGCCGCGCGCGGTGGACAAGTGGTTAAGGCGTCTGACATTCTGCTACCACTAGCCCTCCGCCACTGGGTCGCGTGTTCGAGGCCCACGTGGGGCTGTCGCCAGGTACTGGCCGTAGGTCAGTGTTTTTTTTGTTTTTTGTTTTATCTGGGAACTCCAATAAATGACCATAATTGTTAAAAGGACTTAATTCACAAACAAACCAAACCAAACCAATGTTATCAATATTGATTTAGTCTGAGACATACATAGATACTGTAAAACCTAGCGTAGACATATCTTAATATGTATAATGTTGTTCAAATATGAGTAGACATACTATGAAAACCTAGATATCAAGTTATTTTTCAGACACGAGGGGAATACCTATCAATCATATCTTATCAGCCATAGGAAGCCTTTACTGGTGTTTACTTTTAGCAATAGCGGTAATAATAATTCTATTTCTCTTATTTTTCAGGTGTTTTGTGGCAGACAGATGGGTTCTTGACAAAAACAACACAGCTCTGAAGGAGTTTGGTATCCCGCGATATCTATGGTATTTCAAATATAAATGTTATTGTTTCAACAAAATTCGGTTCCGGGGTAAAGTATAGCTTTTCACTTAAGATTCTAAAAGGTTTGATAAAAGAAAATGTCGAGATGAAAGAGGAAATAGACAGTAAATTGTTTTTTTAAAAATGAGATAAGTTGTCAGCAAGATTGCGTTTATGTATTTGTATATTTGATATCGATGAGTAAGTTATATATATTTAGATTAAATTTAATTTAAATCAAATGAAATTTGATATAAAAACATCGCATTTAAGTGATTATGTGTTGTACGAACAATCCTTTTTGACATACACTTAGGGGTCGAATGCAGGGCAAAATACGTACAATGATACATGCACAAGGTTTAGGACGTCACACACCGGAGGAGATACGTCACATCATGTCGAACGATCTAACGGCTCTGTCCTACTTCATCGGTAAGTACTCGGAGACTTTATTTTGTTTTTGTTCTTGTTTTATACTGATTTTTTTTCAATGGATTTTTACCCCGATTTAGTTACAATAGAATTACCAGCGGCTAATCTAAGGTTGCCATTGGAATCAACACCCCCCCTCCTTTATGAATATATTAAATTTTTAAAACGAAAACAATAAGCTCGAAATGTTATCAACCTAAGCACATCTACTTGTGTTCATCAAACGTCAATAACTTTAAAGGATTGGTTGAACAATAACTACTCTCAACTCCCACATTTGAAATGGATAGATCCGTCCCTTAACGTTTTAAAATATGTTTGTCAAATTTAAACTTTTTATGCAATGATGTCACTGAATATAACCACTTTTTCATTGAAAATGTACGGCAATATTTCGTGTCAGACCGACTTATTCTTCCAGGGTTAACTGCTTGTACAGCTTTTTTGCTTGTAAACTATCAAAGTTCATAAATAGGATTTAATGTTTGAAATTAATATATTTCTTTCAATTTTTAAGAAAAATTTACGCCATGCTTCTCATATGAAGCCATATTAGTTTTAAATGCAGTACACTTTCACTAGCATATAGATATGTCGACAAAGGCCCGTAGTCATACATGTTTGGTTCAGAAAATGGGGCTGACATCAGCTATACTAACGATGACTTAATAAGGATTTACACCTAAAATAAAGACTTTGTGTATATATGTTAGTTATTTCTGAGTTAGGAGAGGTCTATGGGTTCATAGACCTCTGTCTGGTCTTTATAGACCCCGTGCCAAAGGTGTCTATAAAGACCAAAGGGGTCTATGAATCCGTAGACACCTCCTAATCCATAGATAATGAATGTGTCACCCTGACAATCTGTTATTACATTTTTTCCTGCCAAATTAAAAGTCACTTTGTGAGTTTGAGTTGTACTTGACTGCTATCAAATAGCCCCTACCGGACATCTTTTCGGCAATATTTCTGACAAAACACAACTATCTTTGCAATTAGTATCCTAGCGACACCCTTATTGCCTGTTTCGTTGATTTTGCTGTCGCTTTAGATTGCTTATAGGCTATTACGTCCTGTGTTATGAAGAAAGATGCTGGTTTGAGTTATCTCCCCTCGCACGTGCTTTTATTTACCCTGGCAGAGCGGGGTTCATAGAACAAATTAGAAGAGTGACAATTAAGAATATATATGTATATACCTGTTATTATCACAACATAGATATACACAGCGAATTCACATTTTTTTAAACTTAATTTTGATATAAGGTAATGTATAACTGGGTAAGCAATATGTCGATAAAGTTTGTCTCACTTTATTCAGGGCTAGTCGTTTAAGTAGTTTTGTCTTTTGTTTCTTTTTTAGGATCAAAGAAGTTTTTGTTCGGTGACGAAGCGTGCAAGTTTGATTGTGCCATTTTTGGAATTTTAGCTGAGATAAGATGGGCGTCATTCGGTGGATTCGGAACATCTGTCATAAAACGTAAGATCTATTTTAAGAATTGTTGAATTAACATAATGCGTATTATTTAATTTGCATCAGAACAAATGCATTTGGTGTTCTAATCTCGGTTTGGTGTCGACGGAAACACCCCATGTCTTCGTTTCTTTTTTTTGCAAAGATTCTAACTTAAAACTTCTGGGTTCAACTGGTATTTTTCTTGCAAAACCGTATGATTCTTTCACTGTGTAAAATGTCTTAAAGGTAATACTTTCAGTTTCATGTTATCGTTTTGTAAGGTCGAATGAAAATAATATGACTGTTTTTCTAACCTGATAATCTTTCACTTTAAAACTTGTGCTGCTTTTGATAGAGTTTTTGTAAATCTCGTTTGTGTACAGCAGTCGTCATGTTTACTTGTCATCGCAGTAAATTTCTCAATTCCGTCAGTTAGCTATCATGTTGTTTTTACCCGAAACAAAGGTGCATCCATTAGGCCTAACGCGATAGTTTAACGTCTTTTGTGTCGCTCTTTGGACTTCCATCATATTGTAAGGTAACTTTAGTTTAGTATATGCCCAGTGTGTATTTCAATTGATAGCTAACGTGTTCTAGTAGAGTATTACATATGAAAACAGCATGAATAATGTTGAATACCCGGGTAAATTTCATCCAACGAAAGACATATCAGTACAGTAAGTATGGTAATTATGGTTATTTATCTACAGAATATCCGAACCTGTGCGACTACTGTGAGCGGATGAAGAAAACGTTCTGGCCAGACTGGGAGGAGATGATAAAGAGAGACTGTACGAAGTAGCCGAGACATCTCGTCAGGTCCATAACAGGACAAGTAATACAGCAGGAGCACTGATCCAGGATATACAATATCCTCCAAAACTTATGAGTGTAGTGATACAACGTGGTGGCTCCCAAACGAATGATGGCTATGTAAAATGTATCATGTTGATATCGAAGAACTTTAAATTAACTTATAAAGGATATTTATCAAGTGTCTTTTTCAATTAACGAGAATTGGCTAAACGTGTCATTGTGCCATAATGTGTTGCGGAACCTTTTCAGTGTCAACATTCTAAAAGTTACTGTTCCGTACTTCAAAATATTTCGTTTTAGCTGACTCTTGTACGCTCTTTATATATATACATGTTTATTCGATATAATATGATTATATTGAATATATACATGTAGTTGTATTACAATGGGCTGAGTGGGACAGATGTAAGAGGATATCGTCTCTGATGATGACTACATCACATATACACGTACACGTTAAGTGAGGCAATAAAGGAATTAATATTTCTTTTTCCGGCTGGTCATCCACATATAGATCATGTGTCAGCATGTTGACCAATGAAACCTATTCTTCACACGTTCAAAAACCTATTAAGGTATATAAGTTTTACTGTGTTTTACAAGTTCCTCCTTTTGTTGTTGTCAATTAGCATTATCTTACTAAATATACACATAAATCCATTTTAAGATTAACATAATTACCAATAACACTACCAAAGACGGAGTGAGAGTGAGAGAGAAGAACTCGTATTAGCCCTTATGTGTATACAGAATATTCTTATAGTATAAGAGTGTACAATTGATCTAGCTTTCAGTTTTGTTTGTACAAAATTCGTATAAAAAAATGTTTACTGCGATTTATTTTCTTTGTTGTCTTTCCAACGTCGTTTGGTGTAAATTGAAAACAAATTATCAGTCTATCGGGCCAAAGTGCGGAAAAACTGTCATAATACATAACTTTAATTGCATGCTTCTGCTGATTTTTGTGTCCCGATTAATAATCTCGTGATTATAATCTTTATTATTTTTCAACAATTGCTGCTTTTCTGACATCGTAGAGACCGATATTAGTATGACAGCTTCGAGATTTCTAGAATTTCGCCCATTTCAGCGGCCTTTATGTCAATGTTTCAATCGTGATTTCATTTATAAGTCAAACAAAGTTTTTATAGAATGCTTTTCGTGCGATTTGAAGAGGGGAGATGGTATCGAGTGTTACAATTCGGCGAGTGATCTTGTAACTGTTTGAACTGTAGTTGTCAGGACAGTATTCGTGTTGGCGTTAAAATAGTCGCCGTCCGTTGAATCGCCGTTTCATTGTCTAGACCGTTGTTGTTCTGTGATTGACCTTGTAAATATAAATAATATTTCTGGTTGAAGAGTGATAAAATTGATATGTAGAAATTTTGTTATTTGGCGTGCTGTTCTGGAGGGTGATCAAATCAATATGGAGATAGTAGTTGTCTAGTTATTGACTGTGTCAAAGTATGGAAAGTTTATCTAAGCGAGTGATCGTGGCCGAACATTTACAGTGACGTAAAGGTAAACACGAGGTTTTACGTTATACAATCTGATAAATTCCGACAGGATCATTAGTATGTCAATAGTTTTGAAGTTAGTATTAAACTACGGTTAGGATGACAACGATTAGTTAATATTATCCTGCATGTAATATGTTTTTACCTCTGAAAACTACTTACCTTATTATGAAGCGGTCTTTCTGATTTATCTTCAACAAAATTGTGTAAACTATGAGTTAAACTTTTTGATATTTTCCCTGTATATACACGTTTAACTTGACTTTGGCTGCTTGTGCAACATCTGCTGCTGTATGGTGCCATGTATTACCCAATAGTATATGTGTTAAAATGTAGGGGAAGCAACTCTTACATAATTTAATACATAAAAATACGTATCAAATTAAAAACTTCTAA